GCCAAAGGGAGAGGTCTGGGTTGAATTACCTCGTTAATCAACAGGATAAAGAGACGCTACCTGAAAGAAAATGGGTTGGCTTGGGTAAAATAGGTGTTCACTTTGTGCGCTTGAGGTCAGGATACGTGGTGCCCTCTTTCCAACTTGTCCGCTCATTCCTCTCACCTCTCTATTTGATACGAAATAGCGCAATAGGGAGTCCTCGTTATTCCTGTTCTAACTTTTTCTGGTACTGCGCAACCCTAAGGACGCTGAGTACATATACATAAGTAGGTTCTGCTTCCACGGTTAGCTCAAGTCGTAGGAAGCTTGGGCATCAACTCAGATCCATAGAGGATTTGTAAATGGATATGAAGACTCAAACTATCAATTCGTATTGTGGAAAACACGCACATTACTCAATGCTGGATATTTCTTTTCTAACGGTATGGTACTGGAATCACGGTTTTTTATCCGTGGCGGCTGCTCCGGCGGGGATTCACCCCATAGCTAATCAAATCCTTGAGGCTTAGATAAGGAGGAGGAGGAAATGCGTAATATCTCCAGAATAAGGGGATGCTGGAGTGGGCTTCTCGGAAAAGCGCTTAGAAGATGAAGGAAAGATCACAGGATCTGCAGGCTTACCTTCCCATTCTGCCACATTTCTCCCTTTGCCATGAATTCTATATACTGTACATGCACATCCTCCTTGGGTTTCGCTGAATCCAAACTAGTATCTTAAAGGGAAACTCAACTCCGGAATTTTTCGCATTTGGTAAAGACGAGCTTTCCATAATATCCACTTTCANATTACATTTGTGCATTCTAAAGATAAGAGGTAAATCTTAGGTAAAAGATACGCTGTAGGTATCAATGCAGGTAAGACGCAGGTGAAAGTGGGAATTGTAAAACACAGGTAAACTGATTTCTATGCACACGTGGATTCTCTGGACTACTCTTGGAAGTAATCAACAGTAATTAGGGAAGATCATTTGTGCGCTCAATACTTCTAAGGAATCCCTGACTGGAGCTACACTGTTTCTCTACAGTACTTGATCCCGATTTGATGAATTTGCTTTGAACACCATTACTTGCGTACCTTCGATGCATAATAAGCATTGGAGGCAAGTAAAAAAAGGTCGGGAGACTCTGTGGACACCCGATGATATATCTCTCCGATTGTCGATGTACCAAATACCTCGTAATAGCTGCTGGTTTTCATATGGCTATGCAAAATTACAAACATTAGATTCCGGAAATGCCAAAACCTTCATCGCACTCGATCATCTTTTGTTTGCAGCATGCAAAGAATATGGAGTGGCGATGATTGAAAAATAGTGCTCAGAAATATAGGGACCACGCCCGTATTATATGAAAATACATTATATCTTGTCATGTGAAAGTACTTACTCGTACAAAGTTCCATGAGGTCCATACAGATGTGTCACAGGTTTTCTCTTTCAACGAGGGCATTTCATTTTAACCGGAAAAAAAAAATCAGAGCATGGACGGATTCTCAGCGTTTCGAGACATTTCCACAGCTCCATCTCGAGTTATTTAAAAATTAGTTGCAATTTTCTGTAGCTCAAGTATTTTGTGATCAGTGTATGAGAATCATTCAAAATAACTGGAATTTACATTTTTTGGCAGGAAAATGTGCTTTTGTCCCACTATGCACCGTGGTCAATGTGAATGACCTGACCTGAGGCGAAATATCTTCTGTAGTCTCAACGTATATCAAGGAGAGCATTTCGAGAGGGCAGAAAGAGATGATATTGTCCTTTCAATCTTCCTTTCAACTTGGTTTTTATCAGTTAATTGGCTAAAAGAAAGTCAATCAGGACTCATGGAATTCCAACTATTGGGAAACAAGGATGCACATCTTTCAGATTGTATTCTATTGTATTGTATTTATTGTATTAGATGACTTCATGCAATTTCTCCACGACACAAGAGAGCAGAATTGATACTGGTCTAGTTCTACTGGATCGAGTAAGTTCTCACTATTTTATTGTATTTGTTAGAGGAGGTTGCCGCACCTATTCCGTCTTTATATCATATTCAGTCAGATACGAATCTCTTCTCTATAGAAACGAATCTGTGCCTGAATGACTTGTGGGAGAGACAGGGAATCATCTTTGAAAGTCGTCCATGAATTACGAAAATTCCGTCAAGCCTATGACTCTTCCTACAATCCTAGCCCTAACCCTTTGGCCTAGGCCCGAGCCAAAGGGAGAGGTCTGGGTTGAATTACCTCGTTAATCAACAGGATAAAGAGACGCTACCTGAAAGAAAATGGGTTGGCTTGGGTAAAATAGGTGTTCACTTTGTGCGCTTGAGGTCAGGATACGTGGTGCCCTCTTTCCAACTTGTCCGCTCATTCCTCTCACCTCTCTATTTGATACGAAATAGCGCAATAGGGAGTCCTCGTTATTCCTGTTCTAACTTTTTCTGGTACTGCGCAACCCTAGGGACGCTGAGTACATATACATAAGTAGGTTCTGCTTCCACGGTTAGCTCAAGTCGTAGGGAGCTTGGGCATCAACTCAGATCCTTGGAGGATTTGTGAATGGATATGAAGACTCAAACTATCAATTCGTATTGTGGAAAACACGCACATTACTCAATGCTGGATATTTCTTTTCTAACGGTATGGTACTGGAATCACGGATTTTTTTATCCGTTACGGCTGCTCCGGCGGGGATTCACCCCATAGCTAATCAAATCTTTGAGGCTTAGATAAGGAGGAGGAGGAAATGCGTAATCTCTCCAGAATAAGGGGATGCTGGAGTGGGCCTCTCGGAAAAGCGCTTAGAAGATGAAGGAAAGATCACGGATGGATCTGCAGGCTTACCTTCCCATTCTGCCACATTTCTCCCTTTGCCATGAATTCAAGCTCTTCTATATACTGTACATGCACATCCTCCTTGGGTTTCGCTGAATCCAAACTAGTATCTTAAAGGGAAACTCAACTCCGGAATTTTTCGCATTTGGTAAAGACGAGCTTTCCATAATATCCACTTTCATGGCGCAAGGCGAGTTCTCATTACAAGACAGGTCAGAAATTCCAGTCGAGTCCCTGCTACGAGACGATTCAGAGAATGGAAGGTAGTTCTGGCGGAATACCATTAGGTTTCGCGATCGCGACCGATGGGTTCCCTCCTTGGTCTTTCTTCTAAGTATTCTGTACGGATGGTGAGAAATCACATATACTAATTTTTATTTGCGTTTACTAAGCTAACTCATGAAAAAGTGCAATGCATTGAATTCTGAAAGCGGCAATGATCAAACAGTGAGAATTAGTATGTCCAATTGGTTTTGAACTTGTTCCTAACGAATTATTTTCAGTCATCTAAATGAAATGCTCATGTTCTGTAATTTCGCGAAGATGGGTGTGATGATTTTCCAAGAATGTTGTACATTTATATTTTGCCTCAAATCAAATAATATCTAAATTGAATTGCACTGACACATACTACGATGATTAACACTACGCTTTTTATATCAATGTGTGAATATATAGGGATGTGAGAACCAATTTTCAGAGGTTTTACCTTTCTTCAACCTCAACCTCACCCCCCCCCCCCCCCCCCCCCCCCCCCCCCCTGATGTTTTCCCTTTCTTCAACCTCAACCCCCCCCCCCCCCCCCCCCCACCTTCTCTACGGAACTCACTAACGAGGAGTGGGGATGAGTCTTGAGGTTGAGGTTGAAGAGAGGCAAAACCTTTGAAAATTGGTTTTCACATTCTTACATAATTGTATCGTAGGTACCACGCGTCAGGCTATGACTTTCCAGACCATAGGTTAGGCGGAAGGACGTCTTATGATGGGTAAATCCTCACCACTTGTTCTAATGTAAGCCCCACTACCACGTAAAGGCACTGTATCTTCAGAGGACCATTACCTGCGGTTGAGAATGCACGATTTCATTCCGGCTGCAGCACGTTCTAAATCGTACCGGTCAAACGTGTCCTAAAATTCTTGTCGAAACTGAGCCAAAAGAACGGAATCATCGGCAAAATCCACAACTCATCCCGTTTACCAGAACGCATCTCCTGCAATCGATGCACGAGGGGTGATTAAAAAGTTTCTGGGACTGAATTTTTTATGACGCTGTGATGACTCTTTCCGACTACTGATGGATATATCCTTCAAAGTGGTCCTCTTCGGCATTTCAAGCAGCGTTACGAACGCGTCACGAGTGCTGCTAGTGATTCCAAACGACGCGGATCATCCGGCAACTAAAGAAACGCCGGGAAATTTATGTAGATGCCGAAGGATATATCCATCAGTAGTCGGAACAAGTCGTCACAGCGTCATAAAAAATTCAGTCCGGAGATTTTTGATCACCTCTCGCATATGGAACGTATGGCCCTCAGTAGTCGATTGTTAACCCCTCTACGTTTGACGACGCTCTTGGTACGTATCGTCCCATTTCTTCCTGCTTAGCCTATAGCCTGGAAAGGTATAGGCCATTAGGTTTCACCGCGTCAGACTACGGTAGTAGAATTCTAGGTCAGATGGACTTGCAAGTCCCTCGAGGATAGATTTTTCTCATACTCTGCAGCACTCTCCACGACTTCTAAGTATACGGTCTTACGCCTTTTCGAGATCCTCAAAATGCACGTAAACCTCTTCGGCACATTCCCAAAGCCTCTCGAGAATCGGGTGAATCGTGAAGAGCTGTTTCCACAAAAGAAAATCACAATCCCCTTCTTGGATGCCTTCAACCACTGCAAGCGCTCTTTTCTCGCACCTCCACATAGATCCTACCAGGTATACCGAGGAGAGCGATTCCACGGTAACTGGTACACTCCCTTGAGTCCCCCTTCTCAACCCTTTTAGTTGAAAGTTTTTAAATCGCTTTGCCTATGGGAGAGTTTTTACTGCGGTTTGCGGCCCTGAGGAGTTATAATGAAAATACATTTATTTTCACATCTATAGCTCGTTCTAAATCTCATATCTGAGGTTTTGCAAACAACATCACTATGCGAATGGCCTCTTAATGATGCATATGTGTATGAAAATCTGGAAAATAAAGCTCGAGGCAGAGTCCAGCGTCACGATGTTTGCACTCGTATCGACTATCAATCCGATTCTTATCGATAGGTTTTCTTCTGCTGTTGCAGAGTACGCGGCGCTGTCTGGCGGTTGGTACGGCTTTCCGTTGATTCAAGGACGGAAAGTGTTTTTTTTTTAATAGTCTCAATGGATTCCATGTGGTCTTTGATAGCTGGCCTCCCTTGAGGGATTTCTTGGGCTGACTATATTCACTTTTGAAAAAATATTTTCTTATCATAGGTTGACGTGAGGATTCATAATTGCTTTCTACATCATTCTCATCACTACTGTCAAAATGTTCTATAACAGCCTCAACTGACATAATTTCATTAATTTCACAATCCTTCAATCAAAAATTTTCGTTGGTTTATCATCGGGCCATAGCTGGGGAAGTTGGCTCATCTTCAGCGAATGGCCAACAATAAGCAGGCGATCGACCATGGAAAAATTTTGATTGGACGTATGTGTAGCTAATGTGACCAAGAAGGTTCCCAAAACTGGCGTGAGATGGAGCCAGTGGTCCAAGTGGTCGTAGTAGGGGGTCAGATTCTTATGATGTGATTCCCCTGTCCTTTGACGCAGTTCCCTTTGATTTCTCACATACTCTAGGTCTCAGAGGAAGACCATTGAATTCCTTGAAACTTTTATCTGAAAGTGTAAAGTGGAACCAGGAATTCCGGCCGGAAGGTCCGTGGGAGGATCATTCTACTTTCTGCTACAAGCTAGGCGACCTACGGAAGACGGATACCCGTGCGTTCTCATGCGATTCCGCTCCCGGATGCTAAGGCATTTGGAAGGGATTTTTTTTTAGGGATTTTCTCAGCAGTATCTCTCCTAGATGAATGAGCATTAGGGGGCCAAATGATGCATTCTTACCTCTCCAAGATGCAAAATACAGTAGATGCAGTTAATGTTGGTTTTTCTTCCATTATCTTTTCACCATCGTGAAAAGTCGGCTCATGGTTGGAGCATTGTTTCCCAACAATGAGCCATAGTTGGCCCAATGAAGGGCCAACAGGACATCCCCGACCATAAGTCGGCTTAAACCAACCATGTGCCGGTGATGGTCCAACTAAGGCCAATGCACGCTTCGACGAAAGCCCGATTTAAAATTTTTGACTGGGCCGTCAGCACTCACTTCATGGATGACGCCATGATTGCTTTCATGTTAGGTCTCGGAGTATACTAGGAGACAAAACAGCCTAGATGCCGAAGCGGGCACCAAACTGTCTCAGAGTAATACAAAACGGTACGGTAGGAGTATTCCGTCGAGCAACAAGAGAGCCCATAAATTTACGGGATAACTACATGCCGCCAAAATATAAAAAAACGCATATTTACGGACATACTCCCCGTGGCACGCCAGCGTTAGCCCGTAAATATACGGGCTTACTCCTGAAAAGGCTCCCCGCGCAGTCATGCTCTAGTTAGGGTAAACAGAGTCCGCCGTGGGCTTAAGAGTTCCTCAAAACGTTCCTTCCACTTTCCGAGTATTTCCGCTTCGGCAGCAAAAACCTACCCTTTTCGATCATTTACGACCCGAAGAATGCGTCGCCTACCTGGCGGGAGTCTTCGAGTAGTTTGCCAGAACACAATTTTTTAAAACTGTTTTGCTTTTCTTTTAACATATTTGAGTGTGTACAGTTTTTTTTTCTCATTGGAAGTTCTGTAAAATATATGCTGTCCTATGATAGGAGCTACCTCGCATTTCCAATTTCTTGAACCCATTCTCGTCACAAAGCTCCACCTCTTCGTCGACCTCTCTGGGAGTATCTAGAGGAACGAAATAGAGCATTGAGCAACGGAGTACACCAGAATCTCTTTTTTTTGTCAATTTCATCCCGATATTCTCTCCCCTTCGGGTTGGTTCTCTGCCGAGGCAACCCCTCCCAAAGAATGATATTGACTCGTAGATAATGAAAAGTCCCCCTTTCGTTGCACGCAATGCACCATTTCGCTATGCAAAATTAAATTTCCTGTCGATCATGTAATCCTCGCGTGCGGGCTCGAGTCCCATCCCCCAGGATTGCTGGATATCGTGCTGGAATCATGTCGGATTCATGATTGCTTCCACTTTCGTAACGGTGCTTGAATTTTCTGTTTTTCCTCACATGGTTCATTTTTATGGAGAGTTCATGAGATGAGCTGAAACTGAAACAGTGGTTAGTGGTGGCCGATCGACGAGGAAATCATAGAGCATGGCCATCCTGTAATAAACAGGATGGCGTCCAACCTGCATTTGAATTTCGGAGTAATGCTTAGAAAAACTCCAGATAGGCTTAACGTTACAAGTCCACGCTGAAATGGTTCGTGGAAAAAGAGATAGTCTCGCTAGAAGAAAGATGATGTTTTGTTGATCACGAGAGGTGTCCTTTTTTCCTGTTGGCGATGCACCATTTCCCCGTGGAAAAGAAAATTAGCTGTCGTATTTAGGCTTAGGATGTGGGGTTTAGTCCCGTGCTCTGCGGTTGTAATATATCGGGGGAAGTGAAGGAAGGGGAAAGTCTTTGAATTGGTTTCCACATTACTTCATTGTATATGCAGATCTATACGAACTCGGCGGGTCATGTTCCTTGCAAGAGTGATGGAGTGAATATTAATGTTATTCATAGATGTCAATGGCATTCCAATGTGGGGAATAAGCTACGAAATTCCTTTGAGCAAAGGGGAGGGGGGGAAACAGGGAGGTTCCCTTTCCAAACGAAGGGGTTGGAACACTCCCTGGGCGCTTTCATGCTTTCAGAGTACAAATGCCTGGGGAAAGGAGAAATAAAAAAGCAGGAGAGTCTGCGGTCCGAAGGATGAGCATCGCATTACATTTTTGCAGGGTTCTTCAACGGAAACTGCGGTAGAAAAGACTCTGCTAAGGTGTAACTAACGTAGAAAGGATAGGATACAATGACCGATGTAGTAATGTGATGAAAAATTTTCGAGGGCTTTACCTTCTTCTTCACCCTCGATGTGAACATAGGCTATGTATTGAATAGAGCACATTTCACTTTCCTCTCTTTCTTGGAGCATGAAGATATGGGCACCAAGAGTTTCAATCCCACACTGTTATCTCTTGCAGTTTCCAAATAATTACGAAAGGAATGAGCAATAGTATCTAAAACACGAGTTCCGAGAATGGCTTCTTTATATGTAAACGACGTTAAGAGATGGGTTACGCACGACTGGGACTATAATGTGATGTGGGTTGTGGCGCCCTTACGTTCAAAAGCTTCTTGTACTTAGACCTGATTCTCGTCTGCCTCTCAGACGTCGAAAAGTAACGGGTCGATGATATTGGAGGATTAAAAGGGTCTGTTTTTAGGCATTGCGTGGCCATACCATTTTTCTGCATCGCCTCGAGAACCGAAAATTCCAAATTCGATTGACGCGATTTCGCTTGGTTTATTTTTCCCGAATAAATTTATTTATTTATTTATTTATTTATGAATGTTAAATTTCCCGAATTTTTCTTGTCCTCAGATGGAGCGAGAAGGAACACCGAGATTCATTAATGTTGCCTAGGTTTAATGGCAGACGGTAGACAACGCTCAAACTTTGTTCAACTCGAACTCTTTCCCGAAAATCGGCCTGCGAAATCAAAGTTCTTAGGAAAGTTGAGAGTAAGGGTAAGAGGAATTGAAGAGTTCAAACAAGCCTTTAGAGGGTTGTGGGAAGTGATACGTTCAGAATTCGTTCAATTGGAAATGTGTTGCGAGTGGGTCTAGCATTCAAAACGTGCTTTCGAGGCAATTACTGCTCAGCTTTCTTGCCTCATTTAGCCTTGCAATGACCATGTAGCGTAGAACTAACGACTCGACGATCAAATGTTACAAATAAGATATGCCTCCACCCTTCCATTTAACCCTTCCATAACTTAATTTTTTCATTAGGCTTTCATTTCCACTTTGACGAACGGGGGAACCCCTTAAAAAAAAATATATATATATATATACAGGGTATATATATATAACTCTCGCCCCTTTACCACGTATTTCGTTCACCGGAGCTGTAGAGAGGTTATGAGTCGGTCGCACGATGACGATCCGTGCAATTGAATATTTTCGTTTTTACTATCTCATCCCCACTTTGAGGAGTTCAATACACGCAAGATAATCATTCCAAGTTGACGAGTGGCGATTTTTTCGACGACGACGACGAAGGCCCTTCGAGGATAGTTGGTGCTCGAAGGGATGTCTCGCTCGTCCTCGAGCACGTTCATGCAACGAACGAACGGGTCGAACAATCTTTCTTCCCTTTCTGTTGTCTTTGGCTTATTTCTTGTCGTGTCTCATCGTTTGAAAACGATTTCCGCAGTTGGGGAGGTTGGAAGAAACGGAGAAGTAATTTCGTAAGTTAAAAACAAATAAAGTGTGACATGTAACCACATCGGTTTAGGAGCTAAACTGATCTGATTCCCGGCAAACATGCTTAAGAATGTGTTGAACTCATCGTTAAACTGATTTGTGACGCACATCAAATGTAATCAGTTTTTTTCTCACTTAAACTAATCTTCGAAGCTAAACTTTTTCCACGGCAGATTTATCTCCCAAAACGGATTCTGAGAGGTAGTTCAGCATGCCGTTTTGCCGCAGTGGACCTCATTTTCCTTGCTTCTCATCTAGCGACGGTGTGAATGGAAACTAATGAAGACAGAAGTTTTTGACATCATCCTGAACCAACCTAGCAGAACTGTCGGAGATGAACTCGTTGAAAAGTACAGTTCAGATGAAATCCAAGCAAGGTCTCATCTTTCCAAGGACACCGTCTCCGACATGTTGCGGACGACGGGGCCGCAACTGGCGCACAATACCGCGTCACTTCAATGACGCATTGCCCACAATTTGCATCTACATATCCATCCTCTATCCACAGAAAGTCAGGATTCTCTTTCCGAGTGCACCCATATCGCCTTCAAATGTAGTCGTGGTCTTTATTCGTGGATAAACATGTTCCTGGAAACTAATCTGATTTTCGTTGGCGCATGTCAACGATAAACGCATTCTTAAATATGTTTTAGTGAACGTGTGTATCTCGTTTTAAACTAATCTGATTCCTCAGTTGGTGCACGACGCCCAAAGAATGAAACGGATATGTATAAAATACTAACAAGGGAAGCGGAAAAGAAGTGCATTGCCATTAAAGATGACTTTGTTGAAAAATCCTAACGAATCCATCGTTGACAAATCACCACGGTCGAGAACTTATTGGACACGCGTCCTATGAGCGGCTTATCAGATACGGTAACAAAATTGCTCGACGTTGCCTTTTCATTAGCATCTCAGATCCGCTGCACCAAATCGACTGGAACTCTACAGCAAGAAAAAAGAAGACATAGGATTTCTTAATATCTGGTACAATTTTCAGCTTTCTCTGATCATCGGTTCAACGTTGAGAAAGACTAAAATCCCGAAGTGTTAATAGGTACACACTGTACTTGCAGATATAGTGGACTACTTGAGCACCCTTGTTTATGACGGTCCTTGTATTTCAGGTGAGGAACCTCAGAATGACACCGACTTGGACGAGAAGTTCCTGTCTCGGTTTGACCCCTCGGAAGATCATATCATCGGCTCCATTCTGCTCTGCTTGGGTGCGTCTGAGTCAACGACTTGGACAGACAGATGACCCTGTAAAAATAGGCTATAGACGAAGAAGTGGCTATTCTTTCTTCAACCCCTTCTCGTTACAAAATTCCTCCTCGTAATCCTCTCTGAGAGTAGTTAGAGGAACTAAATCGAGCATGCTTCTGGCACTCTCGACATAAGCTCTGTAAATCATCTCTTGCTGCCCCTGGGAGATGGAGCTTAAAATTTCCTTTGGAGCGATTAAGTGCCGCTTTTTTTTATATTCAATTTCGCTTAGAAACATGCAATTCACTGTCGTCAGTGAGATGGAACCGGCAGATTCCTATGACTACAGTTCTTAGGCACAAGATATGATATCCCCACATGGGCTGAGTTCCACGAGTTTTATTCATGTCGCCATGAGCCTTCCTCGTTGGCTCGAGTGTCTTGGAGTTTCCAAATCGAAACGGGTTCTCTGATCCTTTCATCCTGTAAATATGATTCCTACATTTCCATGAAAAGACGTTTATAGGCTTAGGAATTCATGGAAGAATGTCGAAAGCATATTCCATGTATAGGAAATCAATAGGAAATCAAGCGCTCATTACCTTTCTTCAACCCCTCCCCGCAGCAAAATTCAACCTCCTCGTATTCCTCGCTGAGAGTATCAACAGGAAGGAAATATGGCATACTTCTTCCTCACTCAATACAGAATCGCTCCGGCAAATATGAAGCTCTATCTCCCCGGGTTTGTGGAGATCACTGAATCTCGCTTTTAGATGTGAATTTCGTTCCAGAAAAATTTTTTCCCCCCCTGGCTCCTGGGAAGTTTTTGAAGGAAAGAGACCAACCAAACAAAAGATATTGACTTGTAGGTGACAAAAAGTGTCCTTTTTGTAGCTTCCAGTGAAACATTTTGCGGTAAAAAAAAATGAGCTTAGCAGCCGTTCATTTAGGCTTAGCGAGATGGCTCCGGTCCCGTCTTCCATTGTTGCCGAATATCGTGCCTTAATTATGCCAGATTCATAACTTCTTCGGCCTTAGTATCGTTGTCTGGATCTTCGCTTTTTAATGAAGGAGACATTATTGTGTTGAATTCATGGGATGAGCTGAGACGGAAACGGCATTTTGCAGTGCCCGATCAATTTGGTGTAATACGGAGGTGAGGTGAAGTTGAAAGGAAAAACCTCCGAAAAATATTTTTCACGTTGCTACATTAGTTACTGTTTGACAGGAGATAATCCGTACATCATTGGTGGGGGCTGTAGGAATAAGGGATTCCAGGAGCATCGAATTTGAGCCTCCGGTATCGCAGAAAGGAGGAATGGGATGTATCCGTAGCGTAAAACCACGAGTCATTATACGAGTCCACTCGTATCTATCGAGAGTTGACGGCAGGTGGATGACAGGAGACAGGGGGTGGACCTGGGAAAGCCTAGCTAGTGCAGGATGCTGATGAAACCTTTCTTGATGTTGCCATGTGGGGAAGTGTCAGATATTGCTGTCGGTTAGTCACTTTTTTTAATTTTTCATTCCATCTGTTCGCAGTAACCATAGCAACCGGACAACACGACCCAATGCGCATGCGCAGCTTTCCGCCTGGGCCGGGGTTGCCCGTCTTTCACGAAAACATCCACTTCCTTTCCAGTCCTGGCGGTTGACGGATCTGTAGTAGACGATGGAGAAGAGCGGCTGTTCCCGGCCGCGTAGACAGGGTCGTTAGGCGCATGCATGAAATGCCGTATATGGCATCCTGGAGCACATAATCCCGCAGAACAAATGTAGCTCTAAATTAGTTGGACAAAATTGCGTTTTCGATTGACTTCGTTCGACCCGACATGTGTCCTCCAAATGCACTTGACCTCGATTCAGTAGATGATTACTCATGTGAAAGAATACACCAAAAAGTGCATAATTTGACCGTTTGTGATGGAAACCATCTCAGCGAGCGGTTAATGAAGCCTGGCAACTCCTGGATCAAGCCAAAATAAACAGAACGATTGGTCAGAAGAAGCGCCGCGATGCGCGTAAATCAAGATCGAAGTCATTCGGAAAATTTATGTAATTGCTAAAGAACTGGTGATCATTCTAAATAAACTTTCTTTGCGTGTGGCGTTGCTCTAGGTACAAATGCACCAGTATTAAACTTTTTTTTTTAAATCCATTCCATGTTTTTGGTCGCTTTGGGGGTCCAATATTTTATTTTTTAGACCACCTTGTACACACAGTCAACTCTCGACACGAGGAACGTTCCCGGCCGGAGCCCCACAAAATCCATAATAAAATTAGTTTAATTCGAAAGTCGTTATTCCGTAGTTTCCTTTCGTTCGGACGAGTTTTCTCAATCCGGACATGCTAGCAAAAGAGACTTAAAACAACAAAAATTATTTCCCTTTCCACTCTCCCTCACCCTTGGGAAAAAAAGAAAAGAAACTCATTTCTCCTTCCACCTCCCCCCTTTCCTGGAATCGGATAATGAGGTATACTCTCCGTTGAGATCTCTCACGACTGTCATGTAACTCTTCCCGTCCGTCAATCTCATCTATACTTGCCTTTAGAGTCACAAGAAGTTTCTCACTTCCCATGTGAATTTTTCATGCGAATGATCGATAAATCAATGTTTCCTCATTCCCCAATGCAGCCTTTGTACACCTAACGAGCAAAAATCTTCAGCTTCAGGGGAAAAAGATTAAAAAAAAATGAATGAATGCCAGGACGGGTTTTCGATAACCGGACGAGTCGTTAATCCCTAAAAAATCCCTAGTCCCCTTAAGTCCGGATTAACGAGAGTTGACTGTAGGTATTTCGCTTTTCAATGTTGTACTTGTACTTCTTGAGTCACGGAAAGCTACACAGCTTGGTTCCATAAATTCCGTCCAAGCTACCATGCAAATCCTATCCCAATTACAATCCTATTTATATTCCAATCTTAACCTGAAGGGCAAACAAGTGTTATACATATCGTGATGCAAACAGAAGAAAAATACTCGTTGTAAACTGTACAGAGGTTTTCCTTGGAAAAATGAACTCTGGCATTTTAAAAAGAATGCAAACAAGGTGGTGGTAATAGTGTCTCAACATATTTTCGGAACTCAATCATTCAAAATTTGTTTTTCCTCCACTCTGCTTCAAACACCCCAAGGGTCTCCTGTGTAACTGCTATTACTTTTTCCCTCCCAATATCTTAGGGGTGATGTCCCTCGTGCCAAACGGGATGGTGCTGCATTCATTTTGGGAGACGAGGAAGCAACTGAAGCCGCCCGAGGTCTTCCTTCTCAATCTGACTTTCTTCGATGGCCTCACTGTTCTCCTTGCCTATCCGACTGTCATCACTTCGTTCTTTCTGCATCGATGGCCCTTTGGATCAATTGGTATGTCAGGCCGAGCGGGATTATGCATGGTCGAAGGTAGAAGTGCGTATTCGTGACTCGTTAAAAACGCCTCAAAAGTCATTTTCAAGGGAAAAAGGGCACTCCTTTACAGTGACACACCATATTAAAATGCGGTTGTCACTGGTGCACACGCTGCACATCCTGGAAGGTCCCTCTCGTATTCGTGTGAGCTCGCGTCGTCGTAAAAATTTATAAAAGAAGAAATTCAACGCTACCACGTTGAACATACGGACTTCTAATTGCGTCATCGCTTGCGCCATTTTGCAGTCCATGTTGAACCAGATCGCGTCGGTCTTAAGGAATGCCAATGTCTAGGGCGTGCCGAATTGCGTCACATGAGCTTATGTCTTAACTTGACATATTGCAAGTCAAAAAAGGACACTCCTGGAAAAAGCCCTTATGTTGAAATGCTTCCGCGCACGAATCACCAAACATCACTAGTGACAGGAAAAATGTATACTTGCATTTTGTCTATTTTTACCTTATTCTCATTTCCCAAAGCGCGCGTTTGTTCTTCCTATTTTCCTCCGTTTGTAGCACAACTTTCCTCTTAGTTGAGCTCCATGTACATTTGTTTTAGTGCGAACAACAATCCTATTTATGTATTCACACACTTTATAGAAGTAAAATAATGAATAGTTCTAATAAAACCATTTAACTACTACTAATTTAGGTTAAAGTGTGTGTCAGCTTCAAGTCTCTGCGTAATTGCTGAAGCTGACACAAAACGTGTTGAAATTTAAGCTGAAAGACTCAAATCTCTGTTATATGAGATAAAGAGGCCTTGAAGCTATCGAGCTCCTCTTCCCCCATGGGAGTCCATGATTAACCATGATAAAGAATCGTTAATTAAAGGAGGTTTCAGCATTCGGGCCTAAGGTCGCATGGACGCCAATGAATGTTTTGAGAACTCATTTCTGACTGAACTGAACAAAAGGAATAAGATTGAGCGAAGGGACACATGTGTGGCGCAAACAGACTTGAGTTTTAAATAAATAATTCTGCTTGCATCAATTGGGGACGCTCATGCACAACGATCAATGACCCAGTGCCCTTTCGCGGTATTTTCCTTTCTTGAATTTTGGCGACGCAAACTTGTGAAATGGTGAATTTTCTCGTTAATATACAGTTTCTAGGACAATTACTACATGAAATTTAAACCTGTCAGGCACATACAAAATTAACATATGCTTCCGTCCTGTCGCCATAGCTGATGAAAGAAGAATCCTTAGCTCACGAAGACGAATGACGTACGATGCCGGCATGCACCCGCTAGAGAGGAAACAACATGGTAGTCCTTCCTCAGGAAATCGCATGCTTCGTGTCGATTATAGGACTATCATCTGAACTAACACCATGCCATGCCATGGACGTCAGCTGCTTGCTGCCATTTAAATACTTTTCCTCGGTGACGTGAATTGACCCTTCCCGCGATTACGCACTTCTTCCTTAACTCATTCGCATCCAGGAACTTTTTGGCCCATCACGCCTAGAATTGTGCTGCGTTACCCTGACGCGCGAGGCCTGCCAATCTATGCCTATCTAGGCAATATGCAAAAGGGAAGAACTTGGGACGATACGTAACAGTACATTTGTGGATGCGAGTGGGTAAATTGCATTGTTGGGATCGGTTCAGACAATTTTAGATCTCACCAGGCATTGAAGTAAGCTCTTTATTCCTTTTCGTGATCATGTTTAGGTTGCAATATCGACGCGTCCTTGGTATATTTCACCTCCCTCATTGGGATGTTTTCCTTGACTGCGATCTCCATCATGAGGTGCATCAAGACCTGTAAACCACAGTACGGTGAGTTTTCCTTTACCTTTTCCTTCCGATGAACGTACAGCGTGTCCACGATGTTTCGTTACCCCTGTGTAATTTAGGATATATCGGTGATACAGTTAATATTTTTGCTGCGTATACGTTTATTACATGAAACATATCACGGTACACGTACCTTTAACACGGTTACACAGCCCATGCATCCAACACGTCTGTTTGTGCACCATCATTCTCATGACAGAGAATGATTCTGCGCCTGGTTCTGTGTGACATTCTGTGCGACGAATATTCTCAATGGTTTTGCCATTACGGGGTCGCTCACGTAGTAGCCAATATGCGTTCTTCAATCGAAGAGTCGTTGGTTTCACACATTTTCAGTCTGAAAAGAACATAGAAATCAATTCGTATATTACTGGGGGTAACAAGACATAGTGGACACGCTGTATTTTCGGACATCCAGAAATACATGCCCTCATTCCATCACCCTGCTTACATAGGAGACAGGCTGACCAAAGGTCTGGCGTGGAAGTGGATGTGGTTCATCTGGGGGTATGCTGGAGCCTGGACCGTCATGCCATTACTCGGATGGGGTCGATACGATGTGGAACCCTATGGCCTCTCCTGCACTCTCGACTGGTGGGGCAGTGACTTATGTGAGTCCTAACGATGCATAACGATAGACTGACTGTCGCCAGTAGGGCTGAGTAATTTTTTATTATAACTTTTCCTGTGGCTTCACAGGTCGTTGAGTTCCTTCACCGATAGTTCGTCAACTCCTATTGCCCTAGATTAAATATGACGACTTCTTTTAAATCGTATCTCATGTTCAGAATTAGGATAAACCGGAACTAACGACGTATCATGTCTTCAAATTCTGAGATCATTTGGGAAATCCATGCATATTGAGATTCGAATTTAGTTGGGTAGGATTTTTGCGCTCTTTCCTCAGGTTGACGACAGTCTGAGCATATGGGGTTTCATATCCGGGTCTTTCTGACCCTAACCTTGCACGCGAGGCTTACAAGATTAGGCCTTTCTAGGCCATAGGCTAGATGGAACAACTTAAGTTTAATCGTATCCGGGAACCCCTGTATATTTCCATTTGTAATTGAGAATAAACTCACCTGGGACCATGTTCAGCGAATCGCTTGAAACAATGCAGAGGAACTCTTTAACCGTGAACGGAGTTGTTTTGGCTCTCTAGAGACGATGCAAGTGATCTCGAGATTTATGGAGGAGGTTAGGGGACTTCCGTACGAGAAGCGTTTAGAAGTGCTGGGACTGTACGAGAGAGAGAGAAGGTTAAGGAGGGGCGATCTCATCCAGGTTTCAAGATAATTAAAGGAATAGATTTAGAGCGTGGTCGATTCTTCCAGTTCGATGGCAGCAAGAGAACGAGAGGTAATCGACTCAAGTTGCGTAAACCGCAGGTGCGGCTCAGGTCGAGACAGGACTTCTTTACTTGTGGAGTGGTGAACGCGTGAAGTGCGTTACATGACGACGTAGTGGCTGCCCCGCGCCGTGAAAACTTTTAAGAATAAACTAGATGCTTTTATGGACGAGCAAAAGGGGGGGCAATGTTGACGTTAGGGACTAGCAGTAAGCAACTAGGATAATATTTTTTTTTAATCACATAAACACAAAAAATATTTAACTTTAAGAGGGGTAGGTCTATCCGGGAGCCCCTCAGGAGGGCAGAAAAAAATGCTGATTCAATGAAGGAGCTCATATGGCTCATTTCACCGATCCCTTCGTTTTCCTGAGATAGCTGATCCAACATTTTGACAAGGAAGACTGTTCATTACAAGGAAATAATTGGAAACCTCTTATCTCAGTAGGCATCCTTCCATCTTGAGATGTTAGCCTCGGGCACTTTCCCTCGCTCATCATAAATCCTGGCGTCGTGCCCAATTTCCCGCCTTTATTTAGAGTTTCAAATTCGATTTCGTTCGTAATTTACTCTTTGAAGCTTATTTGACGTTTCTCGCCAATATTAATTTGAAGTATATGATTTTTCTGGTGCAATTTCATGCCGAAGTTTTCCTTGAGGCTTTCGCAAAGGCTTGTTATTCAGAGGACGCTGAATCGAATCACTATTTATGTATAAAGAAAACGGTAAGAGAGGACCTTTGTGATTCGAGCAAAATAAACAAGGGTTTTGATTTTTACGAAATTGTGCACTAAAGGTAAGGTTTCAGATTTTCGGCTCTCCTCCTTTCAATTTCACAACGTTTTAAAATCCATATGAGATAGGACCTTCTCAGAGTCCCAATTTCCTGAAACTGATGAGTCCATGGGGAGCTTCTCATCTGGGTTAACGTCATGAATCCCGACGTTGAAAACATCCGCTTTTCGATTAATAAGAGCTGGATGTTCATTGGAAAAAATAAGAAGTGGAATGAAAATTGCCTGAATACTTCGCGGGCTGATTTTTTAGCTGCGACACCGCCTGAAATTATGAGGCATCCTTCATCGGCTTCTCGAATTTTCGAACGAGCAGGTTGCGCGACGCTCCGGCTACTCTCACCGATGAGGACATTTGTCACGTAGGGCATCGTTACTGCCTCAGTAGGAGCACCTCGGACCTCGACAGGAAGTCCAATACCCAAGTGAAAACCATCCATGCGCGAACCAGGATAGCGCGAGAATCCTGCTGAAGCAGCGACTCTCATCCTGCGGCAAGGGTGCCGTGACTGTTGACAGGACAATAAGAGAATTCTCACTAAAGTGGTGCAAGAAGGTAGGAAATCTAACATGCGATTTAATTGGTGTCATCGAGAAGCACTGTACGGAGCGGGCAGGAAACCTCTTTCGAGGAACCGCAACCTAAGTGCGACACTTCTCCTACTCTCATAATGAAAGTGTTTTCCAGGAATATACAAGATGACTCAGTCATGATGAAAATTGAATCATATTGCGTTCTCCTGGTAGATATTCTTTTAATAAAAACGGCACGTCAAGGAAGAATGTCGAGATCAATATTGCTGTATTTTAGCTATTTATATCCAACAATCCAAAGTTACTGGATATCGAAGTGGTGAGAGAAGCTCCATATCGTTAACGTTAAGGCCGTTTCACACTTGCCGTCTCTTGCGCGTGCGATACAGCAATGCAAGTAGGAAGCTGAAACTTCTCATGTTTGCGTGTTGTACTTTCTTACCCCAGTAGCATCAGACATAGGCCCAATGCTGGACCGACATTGGGTACGTTGGCTAGATCTTTGGTAATATTGCCAATATTGGGTGAATGTTGGAGAAACAAGGAAATTTCGATATTACTATATCATTATTCGTTCAATATTGGACCGATACGGTGATCCAATGTGCCCGACCGCACTTGAAGTTATCCTTCAGACTACTAGATTGAGAAAAGCGAGACCTATTCCTCCAAGTACACAGAAGTACCCTTTCCTCTTTCCCTGTAATCGTCCTTCACAGGAGTGTTTAGTACCTCGATATATGTCTCGCCTAGTCTCATTATAGCAATCAATAAAGTCGGACAATTCATCATTTGTTATCCGCATATTCGAGACATAATCACGGAGTCCAGGAAATAATGAAGCTCATATTCTTTATAAGAACCCCTACGAACACGGTCTCACTCTATCCGAAAGGAGAATTAGAAGGTGGACAATACTTGTGGAGTCAATCCTCCGTTTCCTCATCCTGAGGGCGAAATGAGGGACTGAATTCGCAAGTACTGTGTAGAACGTTAAGGAGTTGACCTTCCTCTGAAATGTACTACAATTAGTATTCTCAGGGGAGTCAATCTCTGTACTGTTCTACGTCTCCTGCCTATGCACGGGAAAGACTTGTGCATGGGCAACGGGCTATTCTGGTACAGGCCGTACTAGTACTGCATAGTGAAATTCCTTCATCATTGGAATGCCTCCATTGGAAAAAAAAAATTACAGAAAATATTAATGCCAATATTGGCCCAATGTTTTTCCGTGTAGTAAAGCCAATAATGGTCCAATATGGGTGCCATGTAGAGCCAAGATTTATACATTTTGGCGGTATATATTGACCCATTATTGGGATTACTACCGGGCCTTTTGTTGGGCCAATATTGGCCCTAATATTTTCTCAAATTTGTTTATCCAATGGAGATATTACCATGGTGAAGGCATTTCTATTTCTGATACCAATACGACTTGGATCAGAACCACACCCTGCCCATGCACATGTCTGTCCCATGCACATGACATGGCAAGAGACAGAAAAATACAGAGGTTGTTTTTCCCTGAATGTACTAATTGTAGTATATTGCAGGGGAAGGTCCTCTCCTTACTGTTATACAGAGTATTTGCGGATTCAGTCCCTCGTTTCCTCATTATATCTTCAGGATGAGGAAACGGAGGATTGAACTCGCAGATCGCTATGATTTGCATTTCGCGGAGGCGGAAAGAAGATGCCTTCCGCCTCCGCGGACTAATTAGGGAAATTTCTACTCTGGAAAGTTGTTCTAATTGGGAATCCATACAATGGGCCCGGGCTGCGAACGCATATGTGATAACAGGCCTTAGGTAGGCTTTGTACAGCTTCAGGATGGCTTCCGAGTTACATTTATTTGTACCTGCTGAGAATTTGAGGTAATTAAGCTCATATGCTTTCTTTCTGATGACATTAATATGGTGGATCCAAGAGTGACTATCTATCATTAATTGTGATTCCCAAGAACTTTACGTTGTTGGTTCTCGGTATAAGCTGCTTATGCATCTTAAGAACATGATTGAAGTACGGCTTTTTGTCTCCCAATGAGAAGGGCTGTCGACTTAGCGGGATTCATCTGGCGTATTAGCCAGTTGTTACAGGGTCTTTCTAGTCCGTCAAGAGCAGTCTGAATGATTTTTTTCAGCCCTAGGGTGGCAGCGAATGGCAGCGATGCGCGTATCAGATGGCCGTGTCATCAACGAACTGGGAAGTCTGAATTTTCGCAGGAAGAGAGTTGAGGCACGACCTTCCTTCGAGAGGAAGGTTGTGCAAATAGAGCATGAAGAGAAGAGGAGAGAGAACGGGACCCTGGGAAACACCAGCTGTTAGAGGGAGTTTGCCCGACAGGGCTTCGTCATAACGAACTGCAAGCGTACGATGCGAAAGGAAAGATTGGATCCATAAAGTGAGAGGCTTGGGAAGTTTGAAATGATGATGGAGTATAAAGAGGAGTCCCGCATGCCATACTTTATCGAAGGCTTTCTCTGCATCGAAAAAGACTGGTATGAGATGCTGGCCTGCTGCAGATTTAATGGGTTTGTTGGTCAGTGCTGCACTTATTTCTTCCGAAGCCGCCTTGCCTATTAGGTAGTTGATTCGTTTCTTCCAGAAAGTTCTTTAGTCTATTTGCGATTATGCGTTCCAGGATTTTTTTTTGTAGAGCTGAGTAGGCTGATAGGTTTAGGAATGATGGCCGACTTCTAGACGGTAGGTATGTGTCCGTGTTTCAGGCTGTAATTGAATAATTCAGTAAGCCTCTCGTAGAATTTCAGAGGGTAGCTTGGATAGCCATTTTTCGGCACTTCATTGGTGGAAGACATACCCCAGTAGCACCAAATATTGGTTCAATGCTGGATCGGCATTGGGTACGTTGGCTACATCTTGGGCAATATAGGCTAACTATTTTGATTTTCTTCCAAGCGATTGAAGCCTTTCATTTTCTCTGTCTGGACATTTTGAAAATTCATGGAAGGAAATATTTCGTGTCTGCCGAGTCCTATAAATATTCTTTGAGGATGCGACAATGCAATCCTTGC